ATTTGAAGGAAATGGACCCGAATTTTGGAGAAACACAAAACTGACACAAATCTTTAGTGACTCAGTTCATTAACTGATTAGACATTTACTTTATTTATTGATAGGGCATTCACCTTGACTGTCTCAGTGTCAAGGTTTCCACCTCATTCTGCCAATCCAACTATTCCTGAATTACTGGTGTGTGGATGTCGCTGCACTCACTCAGAAGTGGCAATAGTAGAAGAAGATTCGGACGGCCGTTCCACCTCAGACGGGATGTCCTGCACGGCAGCATCTACCCGCCAACTGGTGCCCATAGCTTCCTGTGCGACAGCATCTACCCGCCAACTGGTGCCCATAGCTTCCTGTACCACAGCCTCTACCCGCCAACTGGTGCCCATAGCTTCCTGTACGACAGCCTCTACCCGCCAACTGGTGCCCATAGCAGCCTTCCTGTGCCCCAGCCTCTACCCGCCAACTGGTGCCCATAGCTTCCCGACAGCCTCTACCCGCCAACTGGTGCCCATAGCTTCCTGTGCGACAGCCTCTACCCGCCAACTGGTGCCCATAGCTTCCTGTACCACAGCCTCTACCCGCCAACTGGTGCCCATAGCTTCCTGTACGACAGCCTCTACCCGCCAACTGGTGCCCATAGCTTCCTGCGCAGCCTCTACCCGCCAGCCTCTACCCGCCAACTGGTGCCCATAGCTTCCTGCCTCTACCCACCAACTGGTGCCCATAGCTTCCTGCACCACAGCCTCTACCCGCCAACTGGTGCCCATAGCTTCCTGTACCACAGCCTCTACCCGCCAACTGGTGCCCATAGCTTCCTGCACGACAGCCTCTACCCGCCAACTGGTGCCCATAGCTTCCTGTACCACAGCCTCTACCCGCCAACTGGTGCCCATACCCGCCAACTTCCTGCATAACACAGCCTCTACCCGCCAACTGGTGCCCATAGCTTCCTGCGCGACAGCCTCTACCCGCCAACTGGTGCCCATAGCTTCCTGCGCGACAGCATCTACCCATCAACTGGTGCCCATACCTTCCTGCACGACAGCCTCTACCCACCAACTGGTGCCCATAGCTTCCTGCACGACAGCCTCTACCCGCCAACTGGTGCCCATAGCTTCCTGCCCGACAGCCTCTACCCGCCAACTGGTGCCCATAGCGTCCTGCACGACAGCCTCTACCCGCCAACTGGTGCCCATAGCGTCCTGTGCGACAGCCTCTACCCACCAACTGGTGCCCATAGCGTCCTGCACGACAGCCTCTACCCGCCAACTGGTGCCCATAGCTTCCTGCCCGACAGCCTCTACCCGCCAACTGGTGCCCATAGCTTCCTGTGCGACAGCCTCTACCTGCCAACTGGTGCCCATAGCTTCCTGTACGACAGCCTCTACCCGCCAACTGGTGCCCATAGCTTCCTGTGCGACAGCCTCTACCCACCAACTGGTGCCCATAGCTTCCTGCCCGACAGCCTCTACCCGCCAACTGGTGCCCATAGCTTCCTGCCCGACAGCCTCTACCCGCCAACTGGTGCCCATAGCTTCCTGTGCCACAGCCTCTACCCGCCAACTGGTGCCCATAGCTTCCTGTGCGACAGCATCTACCCGCCAACTGGTGCCCATGGTGCTGTACTCCCACCAACTGGTGCCAATAGCTTCCTGCCCGACAGCCTCTACCCGCCAACTGGTGCCTAGCTTCCTGCCCGACAGCCTCTACCCGCCAACTGGTGCCCATAGCTTCCTTCCTGCCCTCCTGTGCCACATAGACAGCCTCTACCCGCCAACTGGTGCCCATAGCTTCCTGCACGACAGCTTCTACCCGCCAACTGGTGGTTATAGCTTCCTGCACGACAGCTTCTACCCGCCAACTGGTGGTTATAGCTTCCTGTACCACAGCTTCTACCCACCAACTGGTGGTTATAGCTTCCTGTACCACAGCTTCTCCCTGCCCAACTGGTGGTTATAGCTTCCTGCACCACAGCCTCTACCCGCCAACTGGTGCCCATAGCTTCCTGCACGACAGCCTCTACCCGCCAACTGGTGCCCATAGCTTCCTGTACCACAGCCTCTACCCGCCAACTGGTGCCCATAGCTTCCTGCCGCCTCTACGACAGCCTCTACCCACCAACTGGTGCCCATAGCTTCCTGCACCACAGCCTCTACCCGCCAACTGGTGCCCATAGCTTCCTGCACCGGTTACAGCTTCTGCCCACCTTCTACCCTGACTGGTGCCATAGCTTCCTGCTCGACAGCTTCTACCCCACCAACTGGTGGTTATAGCTTCCTGCACGACAGCTTCTACCCACCAACTGGTGGTTATAGCTTCCTGCACACCGACTTCTACCCACCAACTGGTGCTTATAGCTTCCTGCTCGACAGCTTCTACCCACCAACTGGTGGTTATAGCTTCCTGCACGACAACTTCTACCCGCCGACTGGTGCCATAACTTCCTGCTCGACAGCTTCTACCCACCAACTGGTGGTTATAGCCTCCTTCTACCCAGCCTACCGACTGGTGCCATAACTTCCTGCTCGACAGCTTCCCTACCGTGGTTATAGCTTCCTGACTGGTGGTTATAGCTTCCTGCACGACAACTTCTACCCGCCGACTGGTGCCATAACTTCCTGCTCGACAGCTTCTACCCACCAACTGGTGGTTATAGCTTCCTGCACGACAGCTTCTACCCACCAACTGGTGGTTATAGCTTCCTGCAGACAACTTCTACCCACCAACTGGTGCCATGCTCGACAGCACATAGCTTTCCTGCACAGCTTCTACCCACCAACTGGTGGTTATAGCTTCCTGCACAGACTCTACCCACCAACTGGTGCCGATAGCTTCCTGCTGCATAGCTTCTACACCAACTGGTGCCATAACTTCCTGCTGACAGTTCTAGCTTCCTGCTTCCTGCAAAGACACTTCTACACAGCTTCTGTTGGGCTGGTGACAACAAATGACTACTGGCTTCTACCAACCAACTTCTGAATAACTCTTCAGGTCATGACATACACTTTCCTGCCTCAAATACTTGACTCACTCCTGTCAATGACTCACGACACACTCACACTAGCAATTATAACATACTTCCGACAAAGTTATATTCCTGTCAATTCTTTGAAGACAATACCTTTCTGTCAAGAGTTTGCAGCATTACTATTTTGGGGGGAAATTATGGACAATTCATTAGTTTTAATAACATCCCGGGGACCCCCCCCAAAAAAAACAACAACAACAACAACAAAAAACCTAATGCTGTCAATGAACTCTGAACCCTTGGTCATGTAAGAAAGAACAGCATCAGATCCAACAGATCACTCTATCGATGCCAGCATGACAATGCTACAGCATATAGTGTCACCTCAGCATGGATACCACCAAGGTGTCATTGTATGAAGCGATCTTAGCGCTAAGGTGACCGTAAGTCCCATACATTAACGTAGACTTAAGCTGGTCTTAGCACTAAGGTTGTTTTGTACAATGGCACCCAGGCCAATAGCAGGACCATAAAAGGAGACAGTATCTAAGCATGACCAATAACTGCTTCTGTTCCTTCTGCTCAAAGACAGATGAATATATATGGCACCACACAAGTCAGTTGACTAGTCTGTCAATCCTTCATGCCTGTATGTTCATTATATGCGATCGCACAACTTCCAAGCACCTGCAGTGTGTGTTAACAGCAGTGTCGTCATAGCCTGTATTCCGATGTTGACTTCTTCCCTTCTCAATCCAGTGGATCCAAACAGGGTTTCTGTTAATGATCGCCAAATGTCTTTCTTTTGGACGGTTTTATGCAGGTTAGGATTTCTCCATCCGGAAATAATTGACAATACAGTCAGAAATGTAATCTTCATAACTGAATGGATAAACAAGTTACTTGTGGGCGTAAAAATCTTGTACATTATTCAATATGCAGACCTCCTACATGAAAGCATGACAAGTTTCCCATACGCTGGAATGGCTTCACAGGAACTGGCTGACCTTGGCGTGACATAATTGGCTGCAGTTTTTGCTATAATATACTTTCACTGTGTCAAGAATCAATACGGTAAATCATCACCCGAAAAACACCATAACATATTCTGTCAACCTGTCTGTGAAGAACATCACTTCACCCTTAAAGATGCAACTTTCAAGGAAAATCTTGTATTTCAGGCCTAAGCAAAAACCTCCAAAACAATTTCAGTAGACATGTGGTGCTTATTTCCTTATTTGACTATTATTGACAAACAATATGAAAACAACTCACCCTTACATGTACAGTTGATATAATCACTGTTTGATGTAATTCATGTACAAAGGCTAATTTTACACTAATATTGGTACAACTGACTCAGAGATTACTTACAAATATCAAAAGGGTTATGTTGCTTTTATTGACATCTAATGTTGATTTACATCCATGACACTTACACTGATTTGGTCAAAATACCAAATTGCTGTCACTGGCATCTCATCTAATTTCCAACCCGTGAAGGTCCGGGTTAGAATACTGATCTTCAGCAACCCATGCTTGACATAAGAGGCGACTAACAGGATCGGGTGGTCAGACTCGCTGACATGGTTGACATATGTCATCGGTTCCCAATTGCACAGATCGATGTTCATGCTGTTGATCACTGGATTGTCTGGTCCAGAGTCGATTATTTACAGACTGCCGCCATATAGCTGGAGTGCGGGTGTAAAACTAAACTCACTCACTCATCTAATTTCCAAAGGGATTGAAAGCTTAGATAAAGACTGTCCACATATTGAAGAGACAAATGTTTTGATATTTGTTCAATGTTTCAATTTGTAGATTAAACAATCATAAAATCTATAAATAACCCTGCTTTGACTGTGCAGAATATGTCCTGTCAGCTGGGTGCACGAACATGATTGAGACTGAAGTAAGAATGTGGATACTGGAAGCATTCTCAAATTGGCAGACTATTATACAGAGCTGCGAATACTGACCTTTAGTTCATGTGTGGATGTATGTAAAACAATTTATTAAAAGACAAACACCTTACTACATAAATTACATTTTATTCTAATCTCGAAAATGAAAATTGACATGTGACAGAACACTACATAAGGTAGTATGTACAGCATTTCAGATCAACCTCAAACATAAAGTTACTGGACTTGCAAGAACTGGTCATGAATGGCCTCTAGAGTCTTAGAAGTGGTCAGTGTGGTTACAGCCATATCCTCATGTAAGTAACCGTGTCTGAGCCAACTGTCGGGTAGGTTGACTCCCCTCAAGTCACCTTGACTTAGGCCAGACTTAGAACCTTACGCAAGTTAGCTGGGGACAAGGGCCCTGCCCCACAAGAGTTTGTAGTGCTATAACAGTAAGCTCAGGGTAGCTCTCATTAAGTGGGAATCATAATGAACCCATGATCATCGAATCCAGGCATAACAAAGGGAGAGTATTACACCATGGTACACTGACACAAAAGGTTCCCTTGCCTCGTGTGACAAAAATTGCTCATGCAAGACCCATATATGGCAACAGACTGCTGGAGCGTCAGATCCAAATATGGCAAAAGACTGCTAGACCATCGGACCCGATAATCAGGTATCAGACACTGCTGAATACTGCTGGAATGAGAACCCATACGTGATCTCCATGTTTCTCTTCCCGAAGACCAAATGCCTCTGTTGCAGCATTCAGCACCCTCCTGCAACGTTGATGGAGGCACAGGCTCTCCGCACACACATCTCCTGTAAATGACGAAGGAAACAAGGAATTAATGAAACAACATCTGAAGCAATCCTGTTGTTGACATTGTGAGCAATGATCCACCTAATCAACCATGTCCTCGAGCCTGACCACCAGGTCTATTTGGCTGCCTCTTACAACCAGTTAATGTTGTTACCTACACAAAATGAAAAACTGAATTTCAGCATGGAAGCAGTCAAGAAAACAGTGGCATCAACATGACATGAGTTACTGGATATGGTTTAAAATGCGTTCAGCAAATGATTGTAGGAAAAACGTCCTTCGAAAAAAGTCCTATTGTAATAAAAACCTATTTATTCATCAGCTTGAATACCAGCATGAGCATCACCTCCTGTGTTGATATGAAGAATTGATCTCAGATGATTTAGCATAATTCCTACCACCTAGCTACCTTTAGATTGCATACACTTGATCTTGAGTGAGTGAGTGAGTTGGGTTTTACGCCACCTTTAGCAATATTTCAGCAACATCACGGCAGGAGACACCAGAAATGGGCTTCACACATTGTACCCATGTGGGGAATCGAACCCGGGTCTTCGGCGTGACGAGCGAACGCTTTAACCATAAGGCTACCACACAGCCCCACTTGATCTTGATGTGTTTTGGAGTCAACACCATTATCAATAGTATTTCACATTGCAGTGTGACAGGTTATTATTAGAGGATGCAGATCGGGGTTAGAATTGGTCTTCAGCAACCCATGCTTGTTGTAAAAGGGGGTTTGTTGGTCAGACTCGCTGACTTCGTTGACACATGGGAAGATCGAAGTTCATAATGTCAATCACTGGATTGTCTGGTCAAGACTTGATCATTTACAGAACAGAAGTTTATTCAGTAGTATTTGGGCCATATGTCCTATGATACTGTTGGCAAATACAATATAAATTACAAGTGATCATAAACATTTGAGTTTCATATAGATCTTATTTTAAATATTTGATTGAGACAAATAGCTGTTAGATGCTGTACATTACTGTTTTGTGACATGACAATTGCCTGAATGGTTAGTGGGCCTCTGTACACTGATTGTAGCTTCTGTAGATATAGAGTTCTGGCTTGATCATACTTGTCACAAACAATAAATATGTGGTTCTCATCTTCATTAAGGTTATAATTACAAAGTTGGGTTTGATCAGTGTTCACGAATGGTGTTTCAAAGTAACAGGACATTGGGTCCTGTAAGTTTCAGATGTCTGTCTGACCCATTGAAAATTCACAGGACCCAAAATTAAACACACATTTCAGATTTAAAATTTCTTATAATTGGCATTTAAAATTACTAACAAACATAAGATTTATAAACAGCAAACAAGTGTCACATGTGACATGTGACATGTGACATATAACAACCTCAGTCAAAGTCATTGTGAAATATACAGTCAGACACTGGGGCCGGCAGGTTGTGGACTTCTATCGGACTGTATCGGAATCTGCCAGATTTGTCAGAGGGTCAGACACTATTCGTGAACACTGGTTGATCATTTACAGACTGCCGTCATATAGCTGTAATATTGCTGACTGCAGTGTTAAACAGCAAACAAACAATCAAAATAATATCAGAGGAAAGATGAAAGTATTGGTCTCAGAGTCCTGTGATTTCAGTATATAAACTCCTGAGTGTACATGCAGCCTCTTACCCAGGTGTCCAGGAGGGAGGTCAAGGAGAACTTGTTGGGCATCTTCAGGACGGAGTCGTTGAGGTTCTTCTGGACATCCTGAGAGAAGGAGCTCACATCTGTAACAGAGACCATTGTTACCATGGACACACTTCCCTAGTTACACCAGTCACATCATCCTACTGACAGCCAGGCCACAGCTGATAGACAGAGAAACGACAGCTGCCTTTCCAGTTTCAAAATGTAATTCAAAATATGAACAGGGTCAGTTAAGACGTGATAACAAAATGATACCCTATGACATCATGATGTCACTGTCAAGCCCTCAAATCATCCTAGGTTGAGTGGTCCACACGCCACACGCTGACATTGACAACAAGTATCTAGTATTTCACAGTCTCATTACATCCAAACAACATTCGCCACACAGCACCACACAGGGTTTAAGTACTCTCCTCCATCCCAAACACTGCACACATGGCCCTAAACATTAATTGATTAAAAAGACTACACACTCCTCCTGTCTGTTACAGTCACAACTGCATCTACACGCTGCAGCAGCGCCGACTCCGGCATGATCTCATTGCTGGCGGTCGTACACACCCATCATCCAGGTCTCTCATTAGCCACTGTTTACACTATCGTACCTGGCTTTGTTTTACTTGGAAATAAAGAACTATTTTTCGTAAAATATGTCAGCGTGTTAATTATCTTCTTGGTGAAAGGTGTTTATTTTACTGGAACCTTAAGTCCGTGGCATGTTCCATGTCAAAAGTTTCAAAATAAATTGTGGTGAGGATATTTTGCCAACATTTTAACATTCTAATAATATCTGAGGATGTTGTTACATGTAACGAAATTGATGTCACAAAAACAGTGTGATCTGAGAGAGAGAGTGACTTAGGCTGAACATATTTGAGCTGTATTTAAATTATATCACAATAACAACTTAATTTTGTAAGAAAGCAGAATTAAAATAAGTAATGGATTTATAACATGAAAGATACAGACAAATCAATCAAAACAATTTGATCAAATCAACACTAAGCTGATCCTGACATTTCAAAGGGAGGCAACCTTGCAATAGTAACTTATATACGTACATACTGAATCAATTACGCATCAATAAATATCCACGTAATACTAGTACATGTAGTGAGTTGTAATGATGACTTGTATCATTTTAAAGTGCTATTGATGCGAAAACCCAATCAGATATATTCGGTATCACAATCCATTAAATCTGCAAATGAAGCCACTTAGCAAGTACGAACTGCTTATAATTGCCATACATAAAGTCAAAGTTTACTTGCTCCATATACTCCCAGTAAGAGTAGATAGGAGTTTTCAGAGCTGTGGGTTATTGCGTATGATTGCAGATCATCTGGTGCTACATGCATAGGATAAATCTGACAGTTCTCAGACACATTCTCACTTAAAAATCTCAGACACAGTTGAGAAAAATTAAGGTTAAAACATAGATTATAGTGAATGATATTATATGAAAAAGAAATGAATACCCCAGGTGTTTCTGTAAATTAATATTTAATATTAGGAATAAACAGTAAGCATTATGGTCAGTAAAGCTCGGCTACTACAAATTCTGTTCCAAATGGGAGATATTTATGATACAGAAACATACTTAGCTCACAATCTCTGTTATATTTGCAGCTGTTAGATAAGTCAAACTAAATTTGTAGGCACAGCGAGCCAACACATCTCAAACAGTTTACCTGCTCCGATGATCAATCATCTTCATGGAACAAACTGGTTGTGTGATAATGTGCCATCTAGTGATATATCACCTCCTTTCTGTCTGTAGTTCTACAGATTACTACACCTTAAACCTACCAGGAAACCTCTCCTATCTGGTTATTTATGAGGATGTTTCACATAATCCTGTGATTACAATATGATACCCGATAAGGAAGCTATCAGCAAAGGTTGGTGCAATTCAAAACTAGCATATTTTCTGATGCTACAATATCTGAAATCAAAAAGTCAGATTGAAAGTGCATATCTTCACTTAGAGACCCATGCATACATGACATGCACACACTAACACACACACACACACAGACACACACAAAAATACTAAACAAAATAAAGTTAAGGATGATGAATATTTTGGAGGATATTTTTGAGTGAAGTCTGAGCACACCATTCTATTAAAACATCCAGCAAGAAATCATGATTCCTAACTTTTTTTGCTCAGCAGAAATAAAAGAATAGACTAACCATCAAATAAAAAGTTCTTCACTGAAAATATCATTAACTTTATACATGATGAGCTTATTTCTGTGATAATCCTGATAATACAAACAGATATCTAGTGTTGATCACCATTACATATCCTTATCATGCCAGTTGCCTAAGTATTCCGCACATGTATTAACAACTTGCAGGTTTACCTGTGATAAGATCTGTCCGATCCTCAAATACCAGTTAGTCTACAGGATGTGTTAACATATCGTATTCCCTCCAGGGGTATTATATATGTATTGACATTTGCCTATCTTGTACCCAATCAGTTGTGCCCAGATGAAAGTGGAGAGGAATAACTGCCACATGTTGGTATCTAGTCACCTGAACGAATAGGTGCAAGTGTTGGTGATACAGAAGTGCTTCCATGGCCAATATATATCGGTGGCCAAAATTAACAATGAACACCAAGCAATCCTTGTCACCATCCTAATGTTGGATGTCAAGAGTGAGTGAGTGAATTTTCTTTTACGCCACTTTTAGCACTGACTGACTGACTGAGTTTAGTTTTACGCTGCTTTTAGCAATATTCCAGCAATATCACGGCGGGGAACACCAGAAATGGGCTTAACACATTGTGCCCATGTGGGGAATCGAACCCGGGTCTTCGGCGTGACAAGCCAACGCTTTAACCACTAGGCTACCCCACCGCCCCCCACTTTTAGCAATATTTCCAGCAATATCATGATGGTGGGCATCAGAAATGGGCTTCACACATTGTACCCATGTGGGGAGTAGAACCTTGGCCTTCGGCGTGACGAGCAAATACTTTAACCACAAGGCTACCCACCATCCCGATTATAGGAAATCCCTAAACACATATATTTTATGTGCAGGACCACCTTTCATTTCACACACTGTGCGCTTCTAAACATCGGTGTGTAGAGAGAGCAGATAATATGTTAATGCCCCAAACAGCTTCTCCCATCAAAGGATTGTCTTGAAAACAATCGTTCACAGATCAACAAAATTTCTTCTTCAATTTGACAGAGTGTGTCTTGCCTAACCATAAGAAACAATTAAAGACTCAGAAGAGAGTGCCTCAGACATCACCATGCCAAACAATTCCAATATTCCATCTAAACCATATTTCCAAGTTTCAATACCCACAAAGATCCAGGTAAGAATTGATCTTCAGCAACCCACGCATTTCATAAGAGGCGACTAACAGGATCGGGTGGTCAGGCTCGCTGACTTGGTTGACACATGTCATTGTATCCCAATTGCATAGTTAACGAACTACCTTTTCTTCCATATTCTTTCAGACCCGTGAAGGTCCGGGTTAGAATACTGATCTTCAGTAACCCATGCTTGTCGTAAGAGGCGACTAATGGGATTGGGTGATCAGGCTTGCTGACTTGGTTGACACATGTCATCGGTTCCCAATTGCGCAGATCGATGCTCATGCTGTCGATCGCTGTATTGTCTGGTGCAGGCTCGATTATTTACTGACCGCTGCCATATTGCTGGAATATTGCTGAGTGCGGCATTTAACAACACCCAAACCAATCCAAGTTTCAGTTGGATCTTATGGTTCACAACACACAGACTTCAAGATTCAGTATTAAAAGTTTCATAATTCAATTTCTTCAAAGATGCCAAAATTCATTTTCAAGACCCATCACAGAACAGTTATAACTTTCAGTGGATACAGTGTATGACTGAAGTGCTTCTGATAAGATCAGATTTTACAGATGAACACCCTGAAGATTCAAGCTTCTTATGTTGATACAGTCTTCTAAGGCTTACAGTACATTAATCTGGAAACATGACATTAAACATCAATGTCTTGACATTATCAAAAGATCTGTCATCAAGTCGTTTTGCACTTGCAATTAATTTTTTATTGCATTTTATGAAAATTAATTATTTATTTTCTTCAGAACAGCAATGAATGTCAGTGGCAATAGCTATATCTCGTACATAAACATGAGTAAATATAAATGTTTTAATATACACAACTGTCACGCATCGCTCACACCAGCCTCCATCGAGAACTTTCATCAGCACCATCTGACAGCCCCTAACGCCCCCATCTACATATGACTTATGTATGTGGACCATGCTAATAGTGGTACAGAACCTGTTGGCGATTCACATCACACACGAGTCTGACAGGCCAGGTTTTGCTCACACAAATCCAGATGATTCATGAGCTGATTGGGTGATCCATGAAGGTGGCATGGAGTGGGACTCGGCTGCTGAACAGAGGTGTGTATATTTACCTGGTTTATATCGGGACACTTACAGACTCCAGGACCAACAACATCTCTTTCACCTCACAGTCAACTGCTTCATCACCTGGGTACCCAGATGGCTTGCCCCATCAATATGTTGATATTCAACACCTGGACTCAGTATTCAGACCACAGTCAATGTTACGTGAAAACATCCAAAGCTGTCAGTCATAAACGTTATGTCATCTTCAAGACAGAAATCATCCTGCTCAGAAAGATAAAAATAGTGATAAACCCACACTCTTTATTTTAAATAAGCTCAGGCGTAGTGTAGTGAGTAGTGCTGGTTGTCGCTCACAATATGCAGATCGAAATCGAAAAAGGTAATCAATAAATAATCCATTGCAGTTTTACCAGTCAGGAAACTGCATCAGCTGTTTATGTTTTGATTTAACAAATATAACACGGAGTTTTTAAAGTTTAATTTGATGTTTCATTTTTTATGAATACCGATTGTCTCGCGAGCCCATCGACAATCCCTGAAGCAGGTGAGATCGATCAATTGGCCGTTTATTCGATCAATTGTTCCAGCGTTAGTAGTGAGTAATGGTTAGAGGTATATGCACATGACAGCACAACTTGTGAAGATCCTGGTTAGAATTGGTCTTCAGCAACCCATG